AAATTTAGATGAGCCTTTTGAGAAATTTCCTGGCATTGGAATGAGTTACTAGGGGAAGTTTTGGCATCTCTGTCTCTGGAAATCAGATTTAAAAGAGCAGAGGCCTATTTTTTTCCTTGTTGAATAGAAGCTGGGAAATGCTAAAAGAGAATGAGATCCATTTGTTACCATCAAAACCCAGATGCTCTTCTTTATTTAACATCAAGGAGCTGGTTGTGTTACACCATTGCTTTTTAAAAAGCCTAATCCATCTTCACTAAGTCCTGGTAGGGAGGCAGGTGGCAGATATTGCATTTTGTAGACATCCCGCCTAAGGCTGCACAGTCATTCACTTGCAGAGTGGGGATAAAACCCCCCATCTGATCACTTCTCATTTATTTGTCTGTCTACATCAGTGGTTCTCAACCTTCCTAATGCCACAACCCTTTAATACAGTTCCTTATGTTGTGGTGACCCCCAACCATAAAATTATTTTCATTGCTACTAGCACTAGAACCACTGGTCTACGTCATAAATACTACAGAAAAAACTGTCTGTTCATCTCACACATGCATTTATCCAACAACCTTTTTTTTAATCCTGTATGCAAACCATTTCAAGCTGGGCATAATGGGCAGAGGGACCAACGTGGCACCCAGTCAGAATAAAGCATAAACCAGCTACTCAGAAGTCTGAGACAGAAAGATTGCTTCAGGCCAGGGGTTTAATAAGACCAGTCTGGGGAACATAACAAGATCCTGTCTCTAAAAAAGATTTTAAGGCCAGATCAGGTGGCTCATGTCTATAATCCTAGTATTCTAGGAGGCCCAGGCAAGTGGATTGCTTGAACTCGAGTTCAAGACCAGCCTGAGTAAAAGCGAGACCCCATCTCTATTAAAAATAAGAAAATTATCCAGGTGTCTATGGTGGGCACCTACTACTGTGGTCTCTCAGCTACTTGAGAGGCTAAGGCAGGAGGATCACCTGAGCCCAGGAGTGTGAGGTTGCTGTGAGCTAGGCTAACTTCATGGCACTTTGGCCTGGGACAACAAAATGGGACTCTGTCTATAAATAAGTAAGCAAATGAAAAAAAAGTTGTTTTTGTTTTTGCAGTTTTTGGCTGGGGCTGGTTTAAACCCGCCACCTCCAGTATATGGGGCTGGTGCCCTACTCCTTTGAGCCAGAGGCGCCATCCAAACAAAGATTTTAAAAGATGTGTACCTGTAGTCCCAGCTACTCTGGAGTCTGAGGTGGGAGGATCATTTGAGCTTAGGAGCTCAGGGCTACAATGAGCTACATTTGTGCCACTGTGACTCCAGCTAGAAGACAAAGCAAGATTCCATTTGTAAAAAAGAAAAAAAAAAAAAAAGAAGAGATAAAAGGTATAAGCCCAGCCCTTACCGTGTTGAGAAGCTGGTTTGGGATGGAGTTGGGGTGTGGATGAAGCAGTATGAGGCATAAGCATGAGACATTTATGTAGCAGTACAGAAAGTGCATGGTTAAGTAGGGGAATGAGGGCTGCAGACGTTTAGAAAAGAGGAACTTGCTAACTGGAGGAGGTGGGCCTGAGTATCAGGCACCCATGGGAGATCACCAGCTAATAACAGTAACAGCAACAATAATAGTGGGTTGTTGGCACTTAACTGCGTTGCCAATTCTGTGCTGAGTAACTTTTGTACATTGTATCACTTGTTAGTCTTTGAGATAATATATCCAATTTACACATAAGGAAACTGAAGCTTAGAAAAGGTACATAGTGGCAGGCCTAGGATTTGAATCCAAGTCCCCAGGACCACTATGCATACTTTTTTTGAGACAGAGTCCACTCTGTGCCCTGAGTGGAGTACGGCAGCAGCATCATAGTTCACAGCAATCT